AATAAAAAAAACCGTTACCAACCGAATAATACACCCCCCCCCCTCCCCTTCCCTTCTCACCCTTGTTCCTCATCTCTCACCCACCCTCCGTGCCCTGTCGAATTTAACTACCAACCACGGCATCCACCCGTGCTTCCACCAGTTCCGCACAACCGTGGCCGAGATGTCCACCCATCAATGCATTCACCCCACCCGCCCAAGATCCCCTCCCTCCCCCCTCCCCTGGTTACAGCATGTACCCATCGACGTGACCTATAGTACGATACCAAGGATTACCATGCTTTCGGTACCCCCCCCTCCGCACAGCCCCCCCCGTGCGTGTCTCTCACTCTCACTTTTTCTCTTCGCGAGAGCAAGCGGCATACGGCATACGGCAACCTCATTGGGTAGGTACTTCATGGGTAGATTGTACCACCCCGCACGATGCCACAACACATACAACAGCAGAACGCAGAGAGGCTATAATACCAAGCCGCACGCGCATCGCAAACACGGCGATGACTACGACTAAACACTAGATCCGCATCCAGCCGTCTGGCCCGAAATAAAACCAACAACTCTCAACCGCCATAAAGTACAAAAACCAACAGCGACTTGGTATGTTGCGTACACGTACACGTACCTTGTCGTGTCTTACTTATGCCTTGCTGAGGAAAAAAAAACGTTGGTTTTCTTGTTTCGTGCAAGTGTACCTCAGAAATCCACGCGTCACCCAAAGAGCCTCGTCGTTTGCACAACTCAGGAAAAAAAAAAAAAATGAAAACGAAAAACACCGCAAGACCGCCGCGAAAATAATGGGGGCTGTAAAAGAGCAAGCACGATGCAGGCACACCTGTAGATTTGACAGGAAATCCCTATGCTACTATTCTAGACAAGAAAGGGAGGGTTGCCTTGGGGGAGGAGCGTGGGGGGGCTCCGCTCAACACAAAGTACCCCTGTCGCCGCCCGACTCGGTGGCTTGGTCTACAGCGGTCAAGGCAAGGTTCGCGCACACGTTGCACTGACCAAGCAGTTCGGTGGTATACCCCCCCCCCCTCCAAAAACAACCATCGTGCATGCTGGACGTAGACGTACATATCTCTCTGACAAACTGAATAAACCTGACTGCTGTTGCGTGTGGTGATGCTGTTGCTGCTGCCGCTACCGGCGCGCTTGGCCAAGACCCCGCCGCCCGAAAAAAACGAGACAAACATACACGCTACCGCTGTTGTTACCAGAGAAACGCCAAAAATAAATTAATGATGTAAAGGCACACAAAAAAAAAAAATTGCACAGGTCTCTTGATTTGTCGTTCAGGACCCTTCTCTAAAACCAATTCACGCCCCCCCCAAGAACAAGACAACGTCTTGGGGTTGGTTGGGAAAAAGGAGAGGGCAACCAAGCACACTACAAAAAAAAATACAACCCCCTTCTCTCACCACGTGCACGCCTACAGGCGAAACATCACTCCTCGTTTTTGAGTTCACAAGCTAACTTCCATCCAGGTTATAAAACTCTGCTCTCTCGCATATATCGGGGTGCGTCATCGTTGTCGCCCTCTCGCCGCCTATCCGATCACGTCACACTGCTGTGCAAGCGCTTTGAACGCTTCCTGCCCTACATATGTACCAGCAGTCATCCCACGTCACGACTAACCCCTCAGGTGTCCTGACACGGTCCGACTCCTACTTGTGCGCGGCCGGGGGCATTGCCGTCTCTGCAGCACTCCACACACCCACGCGTGCTTTCTGTATCGCTTCCCCTGGCAAAACAGGCGTCGTCGGCGTCGTCTTGTCTTTTGCCGCTGAAAAAAAAAAAAAAAACGCACCGGTCCATGCTCTATTTCATGGGTCAGTCATTCGTCATCCATCCCGCCGCGGGCTCTTGACCGTCCTTCTTCCATGGATCAGGGCCCGTCCCGTCGCATGATCCGTGGTGCGTGATCATACCATACCTCATTGGTTCCACCGCACGAACTTTGCTCTACACGGCTTGCACCATGCGAAACCATGAGAGACCCCGTCACACGGATTCTCGGCCCGTCCTCATGTCGTACCCCGCTCCGTCGCGAATATCCCCTCCGGGGAAGCCCCCCATGCCGCCGCCGCCCACAGCGGCACCCATGATTGGTGCCCCGCCGCCGCCGCCGCCACCACCGCCACCCCTTCGGCTGCCCAAGATGCTCGGCAGGCGCTGCTGCTGCGGGGGCGCGTGCATCATGCCCCCCCCGCCGCCGCCCCCGTGCCGGTGCATCTCGGCCGAGTTGGCCCCGACGGGCCGGCCCCACCCGGAAGACGACGCCGATTGCTGGGAAAGCGGTGCGGGGAGCGGCGGCGGGGAGGGACTTGCCTCCATCTTTCTATGGCCGAGAGGCGAGGACGATTGATGATTGGTGATGATCCATCCCGCCTCCCGCCTCGACAGACGATGATGACGTGATGGGCGTTGAGTACGATGGAGAGATGGTGGAGTGTGTTGATCGATCGGTCCGATGTTGTTGTGGTTGTGGTTGTG